AGTACTGGACTGCAACTTTGAAGAAAATGGTTAGAATTGGTTAGAAGTCCATCAGCAATAATAATTCATGGAAATTGGAATTAAAAATTCATGGAAATTGGAATGGAATATTTTTCTTTTCAAAAAGCTAAGAGATTAAGAGAGAGAGACTGCAGAGGAGCCATCGCTAGCTGCAGATCGCCTCTTTGTGATTATGATTTGGAATATGTTGTTTCCAACAGGAGAGAAATCAAGGGAACCTGTGCAGCCAGCAGACATGAATGTACAAGCAATGTTTGTTGTGCATACGTGCCTAAACCCTTTTTGAAATGCAGTGAGAAAATGCTCTTATTTAGAGATTATTCACTGTATGGAGGAGAAATAAAGATGGGACAGAGAAAACAGAATCTTCCACTTGGCATTATAGAAGGCGTGTTAATACCCTCTGAGTATTTTTGTTTGTACAGCATTTACATCTGTTTGCATTTGAGTTGGGAATAAAACACTGATGGAGAACACACAGAGATGACAGACTGTATTTTTAATTATTGGTTGAATATGAAGTATTAAATTTCGAAGAATATAAATAGTAGAAAAACTATAGTAAAATCTAAACATCTTATACAGTATATGTCACATCTACTTTCAGATATTTTGTGCCTAGTGATTATTGCATGGGGTTGAGATTAGGCCCACATTCTATCTCTATCATTCCTTCTCTGTCATTGCTTCTGCTTCCCCTGTCCATAGAATGAGAGTGGAGAAGGGCTGAAGAAATGGATCTGTTGTGCATAGATTTGTCTGTGGGGGAATAGCCCTAACTGTATATAGATCAGAGCAATTGCTCATACACATAGAGTAGACTCTTCTCTTCTGACCTTCTCAGGGTTGCCTTCTGTACATGTCAAGAGTGGTTGAGAAAGATGCTGGAGTGGGGTCTACAGTTCTACTATCTTCTTTTATGCGATTATTATTGCGTAGAGAATACTAGAAATATTTAAGGAATTTTAAGAAGTTTTATTCATGATACAGGCAGCTTGGCATGTTGTGTATTCTCGAGAAACTTGCACATATTGTAAGTTCATTGTTACAATAGAAATGATAAGAAGGATCCATGGCAGCTTCCCTTCCCTTTGTAATTTGTACTATAGGAACTATGGGTCCTTTAAATTAATGTACCAAACCTTTTTGCTAACCTTGACTAAATTAGATTGATACTTCTACCTTGCCTTTACCAGCCTGGTGCTATCTAGACATTTTGAAACACAATTTCCAGAATGTTTGACCATTGTCTCCATTGGCTGGGGCTGTTTAAAGTTGCAGTCCAAAATTTGTGGAAAGCACCAGCTTAGGGAAGACTACTGAAGCATGTTAAGTTGGCACAGTTTACAGGAAATACAAGTAAGGTTGAATTCATCCTATCTTCTTGTGCTGCTTATTACACATTGTAAACTTATATCCAACTAGTTGTAGCCGCTGATTAATTTGGTTCACATTGTGTAATATTTTATGTCAAACACTTTGGGTAGAATTAATGTACTGTCATGTCAGTGAATATTCAGTACTTAGTTTTTCTGCCTGCGGTGGCGATATCCTAGCATACTGTTACATCAGCACAATCGTGTTGAGTTTGTAAAGAATATTTTGCAATAAGAAAATATCTTGCTCTCTTTTGCTCTGTTTTGTGCATTGTTGGCTTACAGGATTACATAAAATGTGCTTGGAGTTCTTTAATGACATCTGCTTCTTTATTCGGACTACTGTACTTCTTTTGTCCAGATCCCATCAAATTCATTCTGGGACAATTGTGAATAAGGTGTATACAGTCTGCCTTCTAGATTCATTCATGGCGTAGGAATATCTCTGCTTCCCCACCCCCATCTCAAATCCAAAAGGCTGCTTGATATTGCCATTTTATATAAGAGTCACACCCCAATTTACTCTGCTACTATATATGATGGGGCTTGAGCATCCATGGCTTTTGACATCCAGGGGGCAGGATTCTTGAAACTAATTTCAGTGGATACCAGGGTCCTTCTGTATATATTAATCATAGAGGTTATTATGGTTTTATTTGACTAAATAACAAAGATTCAAACATCAATCCAGTTTCTGATAAGCTGAAAACAGGAAGAATAATTGAATCTTTGGAATATATACATAGTTGAATTCTTTGATCACATGCTATTTGTATTTTGACATATCCCTGTGTGAGAGAGATTCACTTTTCAAGAAGGATGCATAATTTTTGTATGGATCTCATTTTAGTTATGTGATTTTACTTCTCACATTCTTGAAAAGTGATATGTTTCTCTTCTCAAATATGACAGTGTGTTTATGTGTGTGTGTTGTTATACAAGATTTGAGTCTCCCAGAAGGTTTGGTTCATAGCAGCTGAATGCTGTTTTTTTATCATTCTGCTATTATGACTTTATAGGCTCATGGAGGGGCACATATTTACACTGGTATGCAATGTATAGTCAAGAAGGAGGTAACCTATATCTTACTTTTTATGGAAAATGAGAAAAGGTTATCCTTTGCCTCATTTCTGGATACATCTGTCCCATTTGTGGATGGAGGAGAAAGAGGGGTAGCCTAATACAGTAAATGGGTTGCAGATGTTGAAGCATCTAGCAGCTATAACATTCTAAATGACATGTATTTTACAAAATGTAAACATTACTACTTCAGCCATTATATGACTTGACAGCATCACAAATCTTTCTAGTATCCTGTTTAGTTTTAATTGAGCTGCACCATTTCTGTTCAGCATCAGCATACAAAGCACTAATGTACTATAGCTGGAATATGCTTTACAAAAGAGATAGGAATCCCCCAGTTCTCCAGACACTGGAAATGTTGTCTGGATCTTTGACTGCTGTTGTTATTAGAAACTATCCAGTTCATTTCCCTACTTCAGACTAACAGGCTTCATTTTTAATATGCTGTACAGCACCCCTTATCCAAGGGGTATGTGTTATCAGATTTCACATGGATACACAAAAACACAGATAATAGTGGATCCTATTGAAATGAAGGCAATCCAGTCAATGAATACTTTAGTATCAGACTGGAGGATCTAGCAAATGCCTAGAGAAGGTGTATTTTGTTGAACATGCAGGGGTTGCATTGTGTTACAAGCACTTACTATGTTTCTAGATAAGATTTTTTTCACATTTAAGGAGGCCTATAAAAATGTGATTTTCCCCCAAATTGTATTACATTAACAGCTTGTATTTGCGTATGGAAACTTTTTAACTTCTTTGTTTCTCAAGTTTCTCCTGACACACACACACACACACAAAATGTGATCCAAATTGCTGACCGAAAGCCTGGTTCAACAGTTGGAATGCTGATGTTATGGAGTTTCAAATAAAATGTAGAATTTTAAACAAAAACAGTTATTCTGTCTGACTGCTCTACAGGTAGAAAACTTCCAATAGTGGTAAGGTGAATTGGACTAAAAAAAAAAATCAGTGTGTCTAAACAGCCATCTGCTACCGGTTCCTGGAGATCTTCCAGGAAGGAAAGAAACAGTTGTAGCCCATGGACACAAATATGTTACCAGTTGCAGGCACATTGCTGGTCCACATATCAAATTGCTTAAGAAGCACTGGCATAGTTCCCACACAGTGCTAGCAGAGTGAAATATTCTGGTAACATTGTTGTCCTTGGTTTCTCCATTTCGCAAACATTAATATGAAATACATCAAACATATGAAATCTTTTGTGGAAACAGTTTCAAAGAGCAGAAAACTGCACTTGATTTCTCTTTGCACTAAATCTATAAATATAGACATACTAGTGCAATGAACTTTGTGCGAGGATGTGACCCTCTGGAATATAGACAAGAAAATGCTTTTGTAATGTTACATTCCCCATTGACCTGTACATTTGTGTAGGATCATAATAAGAGGCCTGTGGATCAGATCAAACGTCTCTATCTAGTACATTATCCTGTTTCAACCCATGACTAGCTTCATGTCTCTGGGGAGCCTACAAGAAGAGCTGGAAAGAAATAGCACTCTTTTCCTATTGTTTCCTAGCAACTGCTATTCAGAAAGACACTTTGTATTGAATCTGGAGACAGCTCAGAGCCATAATGATTTCTAGGTATTGATAACTTTACTCACAATGCACTTTTGAATCCTCTATAACTAGTGGACAATACCATGTCCTATGGCAACAACCCAATATCTACAGGGATTTAATTTGAAGACTTCATATAGAGACCCAAAAGTCCAAATAGCAGAAACCTCTATTGAAACGAAGCACTTCGGGCTCAAAAAATACTATGGAGTCATCTGGAGGACCTTAAAAATGCCCAGACAGGACATATTGTGCCAGATGGTGATAAATGAATCTGCAGATACCGTTCCTGCAGATATGGGAATTGTTCTCATAAGCTTTGGGGTGTCCTGAATCTGCCAGAATTCAAGTTCATTGGCATTAATGTGGTACAGGAGCCTTTTCCTGTCCATTTTCTGTATATTGTGCATACACGTCTAAATATCTGCCTTGCTTTCCCATCCAACCTCCCACAGTTTCCTGTTCTTCTAAATTAAAAAATACCCTAATTATTGGAAAATGTTTGATAGGTTTGAGAGCAGGACTGCATTTGAATGTTTGATAGGTTTGAGAGCAGGACTGCATTTTCCATAATCAAGGACATTAAACAAATACCATGATACTGATGCTGATGTAACACTGTCAAAGTTGTTGTTGTGTGCCCTCAAGTCCTTTCTCACTTATGGTAACCCTAAGGCAAATCTGCCATGGAGTTTTCTTGGCCTGTGCCTTCCTCTGCGGCTCAGGGAGTGTGACTTGTCTCAAGTCATCCTGTGGATTTCCATATCTTCAGAGTCTTCAGTCCTGCACTCAAACCGCTTTCCATAAAGCCTAAAATATGCTTATATTTCTTTTCTTTTTTCAAGAAGTACACTTACACAGATAGCTTGCCTTTTAAAAGGAAAGAAAGAAAAGGTATGCATACTAATTTTTTTTTCTTTATGCCTCTACAGAACTGCACATGCAAGAGCTAAAGCTGATGCTGCAGATCAGGCTGCTCAAGCTGCTCGTCAGGAGTGCGATATTGCCAGAGCAGTCGCTAGAGAACTTTCCCCAGGTTTCTACCAACCAGGTAATGTTAGTAGTAATGGATGATTTTACTGGATGGAGGTAATCTGATGTATATGAATTTGTACCTTATAGACCACATAAATCTGAACATTGTATGTTAGTGCAGAGTGGAGCTCGTGGTTGGCATTGCTAACCTAGAAATACTTTTCTGATTGTATTAATGACAAATTTTACACCTTGTCTGCATAGTAGTGTTTAGGGTGAGAAAGCACAAGTAAATGTAGCTGAATTTGTATTAGAACCTTCAGGATATACAGTGGACTTTTGGTATTTACTATGGTTTGGTTTCAAGAGCAAATCTCAGCAGTTACCAGAATCTGTGGATATTCAAATCTCATTATATCGAATGGCCCCTGTACATGCAGAACCAGTATCCACAGTTTGACCTATCCACATCTTGCACAGTGTTTAATCTCTAGAAATTTTATAGGTCTTCCAAGCAATGCTATGGTATGCTTCTGCCAGCAGTTATCATAGTAATACCCTGGAGGACCTATCAATTTTCTATGTTAACTTCTGAAGCCATTCATTTCAGTGTATTCACTACAATTCACTATAATTCAGTTTCCTGTTTCCACAGTTCAGTCCTGTTTCCACATATCCCCCTCTCCAAATAAGAGGCTTCTAGTTTTTTTCTCAGGCATGGATATTTGAATCTGTGGATGTTGGATTCATGGATATGGAGAGCCAAGTGAATAGTTTATTACTAATGTGTTATAAACCGTATTTATCCACAATGATTGGGTATCATTGTATACCCCAGCCTGATGATACAAGTGCTGGCACAATTGTCTGTGAGGTTCATGGGGACAGATTCATATGGAAAGGCATCCATAACTTCAGTTATTTTTTGTTGCCGTGTGTACACAAGGCAACATCATTGTAGACATTTGTGCTCTCTTTCTGGAAAGCAGGGGAGGTTCTCTTTCAGCACTTGTTCATTCTGGATTGCGGCTGTGAAATTCAGTCTCACTGTCATCTTCTCCTGTTCATAGACTGTAATGTCCAACTAGGGATTAGTGTCACTAGATTTTGGCACAGTGTTTACTTCATTGTCATGTGCTGCAGCCAGTGCTTTCCTAGAATAGGTAATTTACAGAAAGCTAGCATGTGATGGTTACAGCATACAAAGTGTAATACACTTCCCCAAAAACAAAAGCAAAGATTGATTGAAATTTCAGAAACTTAAATCACAATGGAATAATTATGTAGAATATTTGTCTGTGAGCACTATGCTGTTAGCCCTTGTGTGCCAATGTTCTCTCAGTGATCCAGTTCTTGAGCAACATATGCTTCACTGTCCTGAAAAGACTGTACTACCTCAAAGCGTTGCATATCATTTATGTACACGAGGCCATGCATGTCTGTCATTAAGCAAATGCAATTTAAGATGCCCACATGTGTGGCTTCCTGGAATCCTTTTCATTTCAGATTACTCACACTATCAAGCAGTATCATCTCCAAGCTCCCAGGGGATCAGGCAGATTGAGCTTGAGCAACAGTGGTTTGCCTAAGGCCACGGAGAGTTCATAATTCATCTGGAAACTTGATGCTATTCATAATGCTCCAGCAGCTGCCTGAATATATATCAGTCTCTCTCTAAATGATACATGAGCCTTTAGGATCTTCACTGTAAAACATTTGCAGTATAACTGATTAAAAAAAGAGGACTAAATAGTGTTAGAGTATAAAATATGTGCAGTACAACCCCATTGTCCACAGGACTAGGTTTGATTTATCCACATCTATTAAAAGATATCCTCTTTGGGCAATTTCTGGATCCTTTAGCATAATTCTATATGGCATTCTTCAATAGGGTTCAATATTATCTGTAGTTTCATGTATCTATGTGAAGTCTAGGGACTGACTGTATTCATTTTTCTGGAACGGGCCCATCAGGATTGTTTTCTAAAATATTTCCAATATAGCATATAGATGAATTACCATATGTTACATGATTTATAGATTGTCAATTACCCCGGTGATGGAGTGGGTTAAAACCTTGTGCTGACAGGACTGCCGACCGACAGGTCGGTGGTTCGAATCTAGGGAGAACGGGTGAGCTCCCTCTGTCAGCTCCAGCTCCCCATGCAGGGACATGAGGGAAGCCTCCCACAGGACGGCAAAAGCATCAAACATCTGGGCATCCCCTGGGCAACATCCTTACAGATGGCCAATTCTCTCACACCAGAAGTGACTTGCAGTTTCTCAAGTTGCTCCTGACACACACACACACAAACCAAGAAAGAAAGCTTTAAAACATGTCAGAACAGAATACTATTTTTTTTAAAAATCCTGGAAATATTTGTTTCAAGGAAAGAAAGAAAAAAATGGAGATTGTATCTATTGTCAGTTTCTTTTTGAAAACCCACTTGGTCTGTAGAAGAGCAAATCCAAAGTTTGCTTTTCAGTGTCATTTTTTGCCATGTGTCATTTTTTGCCATTTTCTTGGAGTGGAGAGAAAGTGAGGGGTCTAAGCTGCTTTTCAACTCTTTCATTTTTGACAAATAGTCTTGTTGTGTGCTTCCCCTCTCCTTAAGAGTTTAAAATTAATTTGTTAAAAATCATTATATATAATTTGATATGTCAGTGACTTTAAAAGTAATTAATCATTTTAATACAAGCATAATTAAGTTTTTAAATTATGATTAACTTTTCATGTTACTATGAGTTGGTACACTGATGGATAATTTTGTGATTCCTTCTTAAATTAAAAGTGTATTGTGTTGCTAACAATTAATGTAACAACTTAATTTTATAATATTCACACAAGCAAATCAACATTAATGAGTGTATTTACATAATATTAACACATTGATTGTTGGCATCAACATTTCTAAACTTCTCAAACTGTCCATTTATGGATCTTTGTAGTGTTATCAACTTTAAGCAGCTGCAGAATAGGATGCTGAAATCCAGATATCAGAAATAATGTCCTGCAGCCATGAAAGCACAATGGAGATAGATAAAACTCCTCAAACCTTTTATGTCCAGGTTAGGGTGGGTAGAATTTCTCTGGGACATAAAGACAGACCAGAGCTTGTTTTACAATGTTAAGCACATGGATCCGACCCAGTTCTTTCTAGTCCAGAGGTCTTTCTGTACCTCACAGTTGTAGCTAGGCAACATATTCTTGTTGTGTCAGATTGTACTGAAAAACAATATTTTGGGAAAATATAATTATACCCAAGTTTTTTCTTTTCTTTTTTTTAAAAAAATAGAACTTAATTCAAAAAAGCAATCTGTTCCAACTTAAGAATTGTGCATAGAAAATCTACCTGAGTACTTTTTGCAAAAAGGGGGGAAGGGAAAGGAAAAAAAATAATTGTATGAGGTCCTTATATACACATAAACTAATGCCAGTGAAAATTGGTTTATTCAAGACCTAATATCTGCCTCTGGAGGTATATCTGAAGGTCACTAGATTGGGACAGCCTGTTATATACTCAACAAATAATTGTGTTTTGATCACTATATGTTGTGTGATAATTACTTGTGAAACCAATACAAATTAATATGAAGCAATTGTGCTAGATGTGGTGAGTAAAACATCTACAGTCATAAGAATCTGCTCCTCCCATCAACTTAGGACTTCTTTGGTACATTTTTTTGCTGTTTTATGTTTGTTTCTTTAAAAAGATCATATGTATATTTCAGACACTATTCTTAAGGGCAGGAGTTGATCGAGTGCTAGAGATTATAGCCCAAAACTGGGCAAATAATATACAAAATCGGCTTGGGGGGGGGGGCTTATAGAAGTAGCTAAGGGAAATAACTCATAGTTTTATGTATTAATGCACAGAGCATGGGAAATAAGCAAGATGAACATGAACTATTAACAGCCAAGCAGATATGATATATTGTAGACATCACTGAAATGTTGTGGGATAAGTTTCATGAAGGGTACAACCTGTTTTAGAGAATAGACCAAGCAGGAAAGAAGAAATGGCAATATATGTCAAAAATGTTTACACCTATGAAAGGATCCCAACCAAGATTTGGTATAGGGATTAAAATTACTCTTGCTGGAATGGAAGACACATTTTTCTGTTCTGTCCTGACAACCACTTTATTCTCTCTGCCCCACTCCACTCCTGTCACCTACCATTGAATAGCACTGGTATCTTTAAGGTACCACCTAGAATATTTTGTTTATATTTTATTTGTCTAACACTCATAATCTTCCTGAGCCTCTGTGAATGTGTTCCTGGTTGTTATATAGAGAAACATGATCAGTACACAGTAGTGTGTACACAGGACACAGCTTTTGCATTCTATCAGTATTTTCACCATATGGATGTCACTCACTTTCAGGAGACCAGCTGTTCTTTTTAAACACCAAATCCAATTAACCCTCCATTTATAAGCTTTTGTATTTTCTCTACTATGACTAAAAGGTAGATATAGCAGGAAGTCAATCATGTTCATTAAGCATCTGTCCAGTGAAAATACAGCAGAGTTGCAAAATTACCTGAAGTTTACACAGTCACAATAAAAAAGGTTGGAGATGGACAGTTAATTTACCAAAACGATCTGTCAGCAGTAATTCCGTTGAAACCTGGGGTTTGCAAAATGATCTGCCTTAAATTGATACATTGTGGAACAGTAGCATCCCCTCTAGAATTGTTGTTACCATTGTTGTGTGCCTTCAAGTCATTTCCAGATAATGGCAACACTAAAACAAACCTTTCTTCGTCAAATTTACATGGAAAACGTGGCTATTTATTTGTAAATATGCATATTTAGGAGGAAATATAAACCTTGAAGTTAAACAAAATAGAAATAGGACTAGAATATAACATCTTGAATTTTAACCCATCAGAGTGATATAGTTTGAGCATTCATTATTCCAAAATTGATATGGGTGACATTTTCGCTTTTTGATGAAACAATGCAAAAGCTTATTTCATGCATACAACAGTTATTTAAAATATTGTATAAAGTTACCTTCAGGCTTTGTGTATAATGTGTATATGGAACATATTGGTAAATGAATTTCATGTTTAGACTTTGGTCCCAAATTCAAGATACCTCATTATGTACATACAGGTTGAATATTCTTTATCCAAAATGCATGTTATCAGAAGAGTTTTCAGCTTTAGAATTTTTTGGATTTTGGTATACCTATATCTATGATCATAATGAGACATCTTGAAGATGGTACGTACAGGTTAAGTATTCCTTATCCAAAATGTTTGGGACTGGAAATATTTTAGATTTTGGAATGCCTATATTTATACATATGTATGTACATATTGAGATATGTTGGAGAAGGGCTTGTTTTTAACTATAAATAAAATCCAAGAGACTTTTTAAATTATTCTTCTTTAATCTGATAGAAGACTTTTGCCTTTTCATTCCGCTAATGTCTAATTTCAAAGATGAACAGCAAAAGCACCATTCAAGTAGCCTTGTGGTGATATTACATTAAAATAGTGAGCATGAAAACATTCTGTTCCAATGAACAAGTGCAGTAGATCATTAGATTACTGCTGTACATTGTATTGGGATGGCGTCAATTAGTCCAAAACTTAAGGAGTCATTGAGATCATATTTGTTGGTCCTTAAGAACCTGTATATTTTTTCAAGCTGCAGATCAAAAGGAAAGGACCTATTTCTGAATGCATGAATCTGAAGTACCATCTACTTCAACCCTCTGTTTGTGCACTCATATTTGTCTAAGTTCCTCCTCCAGGCCCTTCTGATACCAGAGTTGAGGTGGATGACGACTAGGTAGAGGGTTTCTCAAGTGTTGCATCTCATTTATATACATTCTGTTTCCCAAGAAGTTCACCTAGCACAGAGCGGGAAACCTCAGGCCCTGGGACTAAGTCTAGTATTCTGGGGATTGTCACATGGTCATAACTCCTTCCACATCACATTGTCATTTAGTGTGTTTTCTTTCCGTCCTGAAAGACTGAAATGTCTTTCTGAAAGCTTAGTTACTGACTGGCAGAGGTTGAAGATAAAACTGGCTGTTACTATTTACCCCTCTCTTTTTGTTTTGGCCTCACCAACTATTTGAATGTAACCCCCCCCCCCCCACAAATGTGTTAAGATGAATTCAGCCTTCAGGCTTAAAGAGCTTTTTATCACCTAAATCTAGCACTTCCAAAATTAACCTTTTTTTCTTACCAAGAGAAGTGCTTGTTGTTTCACTAGATTTTTCAGCAGTATGTTCTTGTATTGCTCTTTTGAACCTGGTCTTATTTTGATGTATTTATCTGCATATGAACTGTATTGGAAATTTTCATGTAGGATGATGAATGAATATGGAATTTCTTGCATCTTATATATCTGTGTCACAAGCAGTCATTGCTATTGCAGATGTGATTGTCAGAGTAATGATTGGCCCTGTCCTAAGCTACTGTCCGCATTAGCCAATCTTAACAAATACTGCTTCCTAACATGCTGCACCAGAGATGAAAGTTAATATTTATTAAGTTGTCATAAGTCAAACAGATATCTTCCATAGTCTTTGCCTTTCAGGGTTGCAGGTTTAGATAATTAACCATTTTGTATTTGTTTAGGGCCTTGATAAATTCTTCAAACCTTCTTCTAAAATTACTTGTTGTTCAAATCATTTTTGATTTATGGTTGTTGTTTTTTTCAAAAAATAGTTCAGTGGGGATTTTACATTGCTTGATTTTAAAAGCTGAGGGAATGTGGCTTATCCAAAACCACACACTGAATTTCCATGAGTCTGAGTAGAATTTGAACCCTTGAAGACCTAGTCCAACACTCAAATCCATATTACACCACATTGTATCTCTTCTAAAATTATGCAGGTAGTTTTATAATACACGTGTTAAGAATATTAGAAGAATCAGGCTGGAAAGTGTATAGGAAGCAATGTTTTATTTAAGCCAATAACAACTTTGCTCCCTAAGAAAAATGGCAGAAAAACAGGCATCCCTCCAAATTGGCAGATTGGACTTTTGAGGATTTGATTATTCATGGATTTGATTTAAAATATTCTTCCAGGATTCTCTAGATCTTCCAGTGTGATTCTGTGGTCAACATTGACCACAGAGTCATGTTGGAAGACCGAGAAATTCCTAGAAAATAGTTCTCTCAAGTTTTTTAAAAAGCAATTTCTTTGTGATTTTTCACTTTCCCAGAAGTCCTGTGCTCGTAACTCAGATGATGGTGGAGGGCTAATGGGACTCAGCGAAGGATTAGAATGAAATTGAATTTATTTATTTATTTATTTATTTATTTACTATGCTTATATACTGCCCCTCTCATCCTGCAGGTGACTTGGGGTGGTTCACAGTGAGCACCAAAAACATAAAATACAATTAAAACAGTTAATATAAATATAAAAACCAATTAAAACAGTCAATATCAATAAAATAACACATATCATTTAGAGTCTCCTTGTTAAAAGTATAATCGTCTAGTCATTCCTAAGTTTTGGGTTTTTGGAATGTTAAAAGGGAAGGGGCCAATCTGATATCCCTAGGGAGGGCATTCCATAGCCGAAGGGCCACCACCGAGAAGGCCCTGTCCCTCGTCCCCACCAAACTTGCTTGTGACGACGACGGGATCAAGAGCAGGGCCTCAGCGGACAATGTTAAAGTCATGGAAGGTTCATAAGGGGAGATACGTTCATACAGATAAGTTGGGCCAGAACTGTTTAGGGCTTTATAGGCTGAAGCCAGCACTTTGAATTGTGCCCGGTAGCAGACTGGCAGCCAGTAGAGCTGGCACAGCAGAGGAGTTGTATGCTCCCTGAGCACCGCCCTTGTTAGCAATCTGGCTGCCATCCGTTGGACCATTTGAAGCTTCCGGACAGTCTTCAAAGGCAACCCCACATAGAGTGTGTTGCAGTAGTCTATACGGGATGTAACCAGAGCATGGACTACCGTGGCCAAATCAGCCCTCCCAAGGTACGGGCACAGCTGGTGCACAAGTTTTAACTGTGTGGATGCTCCCCTGGTCACCACCGAAACCTGAGGTTCCAGGCTCAGCAATGAGTCCAGGATCACATCCAAGCTGCGAACCTGCAGTTTCCATCAAGTACTACTGAAGACTACACACACACACTCCCAGAGATAGAGACTAGCAAATGACATTCATTAGAAAGAACTCTTTTTTAATATTCCTTATGACTAAAGAATACTTCCAAATTAAGGACTAGGTTTATTTATGTGCAGGTTTGTATTTGAAAATAGGAAAGCAATGCACAGTTTGGCTTAACTCAGCAAACTAAAAAATAGAAAGTAGTAATAATCAAATGGAAGGAAGAAACATGATCAAAAGTAATGCTGTGAAACAAACTTAGAGGCGAGAGGAGTCAGCAAATTAGATGAGAGATGTGATCCTACACCCATTGAAGTGAACTGCCAAGCACTGCAGGCTTAGTCTGTGTATTTGAAATGTGATACAGCTGCAAAAGTGCTAATGCTATTTTGGGCTGTGTATGCAAAGGCAGAACGTCATGGAGAAGCAAGGTGATAGTCCCTTCCCTCCATATGTCTGTTGGCACTGCTTTGGGTGCTGGGCACTGCAGTACTATAGAAATCCTGGCAAGCTGAAGAGGCATCAAAATAGTAATGGCAGAAAATATATTTTATTCTGGGAGATGCTTCTGGAAACCTTAATCTTGCAACTTGCATGGTCATGCTCAGATTACTGTAACAAGTGTTCCAAATGGGAAAACTGAAGCGGTAGTTATAACAACCCATGATAGTTCCGTTTCAGTGTTGCCCTCTTCTTGTTGAGGCTCCTCTAATATCAGTGTCATGCCATCATGCCATTCATGGACTCCATTTTTGAAAGGCTGTCACGGCAATACACGAATGGAAGAACCAAGTCAGCATTGGTTTCAGATTCTTAGGTAGAAGTACAAGCAGATTCCCTGGTTTCTCTCAGATTTTCCTCAGAAATACAACTTCAAAATACATGCATACATATTTTCCAAATGTACTGACAGGCATGACAACATGGGGAAGGATGGCTTTGAAATATAATTCGACCCACCCACCACCCATTCCTAGTATCCATAGAATTGGTATTTGAAAGTTTCATTTTATGCATGCCCAATAAAATATTTCTTCTCTAGGCATTTTCTAGGTTGTCTAGCTCAACAATATGATATTCTTAGGCTAGACATCCTTCATTTCAATAGAGTTAGGTATTATCTCAGTTTTGCATAAGCAGGTTATGTCCAGGAATATATGACACACAAATAAGAGCTTGTCCTGTAGTAGGTGTTGCTTTGTGCCTTCAAGTCATTTCCAACTTGTGGTGACACCCAAGGTGTACATATCCAAGGGGTTTTGGTGGCAAGATTTGTTCAGATGAGGTTTGTCTTTGCCTTTTTCAGAGCTAAAAAAGTGTGACATGCTCATTTCCCCACCTGAATGGAGATTCTAATCCTGTTCTCCAGAGTCCTCATCCAATTCTCAAGCCATTGCACTATGCTAGTGTAGTGGCTTGAATCTTAGTAAAAGCTTTTGCCGAGCCTTAGACTAAAAGAAGGACATAGTGATAAAATCTGTAATAATAATTGAGGCTTATTATCCGGTGATATGCTTGTACTGAGGTTGAATTTTCTTTTCCTTGCCTCCATGCATAATCCTCTAAGTTGTCTCAAAATAGCTCTGGTGTAGATTTGGGTTGTCCAGAAGGTTTGTAATAAGAATGGACAATTGCACCCTGCATGTTTTTCTTGTAGAAAGAATCTATTAGACAAGTGGAATTGGTAATGAGAGGAGTGTTCAATGGGAAGTTCAACTAATCTTCTCTTTGCCTTTTCTAAATAAATTTTTCAGGCCCTGATTATATCAAACAACGATTTCAAGAGGGTGTGGATGTTAAGGAAAACCCTGAAGAAAAGGTTCAGGAAAAACCGCCCAGCCCAAAAGAATCCCCTCACTTTTATCGAAAAGGCACTACACCTCCAGGGACCCCAGAAGAGAGCCCAAGGCAGAGCCCCGTCCCTTCTGCCAAGCCTTCCCCTGCAAAACCAGGCAAAAAACAAAACTCCACTTCAGAAGTCAGGATTGTTCCAGAAAAAAAGAATTTACCTAGTGAAAACGTAACACCTGTGGTAAACAAACCTCTTCATTCAAAATCACCTGCGAAGGAGGATATCACAGCAAAGCAGCAGCCAAAGTTGTCACCTCGCAACAATCCTAGCAGCAGAGAAAATGGGGAGTTACACGGTCATTACCACGGCTACTATGTGAAGACTAATCCAACATTATATCCGTATGAGCTTGGAGAAGACGAGGACCATACCAACCCAACATCTTCCGCACTGGTAGCGTCGTCAGCTCAGAAGACAAGCCCAACCGGAGTTGGGGTTCAGTTAGATGCCAAAGAATTGTTAAAGAGCCCTGAATCTGCTGCACCAAAGAATCCCACTAATAACAACTTCTATTCCCTGGAAAGAGAAGTTAATTCGGTAGGTACTTGGTTAGTTTAGGTGAGCCATCCTCTTAATGTCTAGGGCTGCTCCTCATATTTCTGGTACAGTTTACACACTGTGTTTTATGTGTTCAGTATTTACATACGTCTTAAATGTTTGTTAGCTGACATTTGCCCTTAAGATACAAACATGTCAAGAAGTCAGTTTAAACCTAAACAGCCTCCTAAATAGAAGTAAATAATAATAACAACAACTTTATTCTTATATCCCTCCACCATCTCCTTGAAGGGACTCGGGGTGGCTTATAGAACAGCACAAGGTGCCTAGAAACAAACATAAAAATGAAGCACAATATAAAATACAATAAATTAAATCACATACACATATAAAAACATCAATTCAGGCTCAATAAAACTGAGGTCATAAACCAGTGGCGGTAAGCTGCTGTAAACATGGCCAAGCCGTAAACAATTGGAATTGAATAAGTGCAAGCTGCAACAATGAACTAAATAAAACTAAACCAAAACTACAGCTTATTTACCCAGTCACCATGAAGTCACAAAACATTCATTAAAATACAATATAATGCATAACCATAACAAGTGCATATTTGCAAGCATGGGAGCTACACAGATAATCGTGGCCTAGGACTGGCTCCTTTGTCATGTATGCAGTTTTTAGTAGTAACCACATAGGCTTCTATTTTGTTCAGTTGTAATCAAATTAAAAGCTGGGCTCACAATCTTGTAACTCAAGGATTCACATTAACAACTGAATATGATCCTGAAAGTCCAGTCAAGCAACACCCCAACCAAAGGACTTCCAGGGCACAGCAGATTAAATTCTAATTCAGTAGCATTGTGCGGGAAGGCGAGGGGGGGGGGATAAGTCTCATTCCTGATTCTAAACAGATAAGTGTGTTATTGATTTTTGTGGGGGTTTTTGTTTTTGTTTTTATAATTTTTAAAAAAGAAGTATGAAACTAAACATTAGGAGTGACATCCAGCATTTCAGATTTTCTGTAAAGATGATGTGATTGAGCAGTTGTGCAGATTGGCCTGTGTCTAACTTCCAGTGGCCAATCACAAAATGCAACACACAAAATGCACAGTTGAAGACTGATCATGTCCTATGATAAACAGACATCATTCACCACTTGAGGGAGCATTTCTTCTAAAGATGTGCTAAATGTATCATCTATTTTAACTGCAGGTGTCCTTTCACTTTGGACGACAGATAGTTCCTTTTTCTTTGGACGTTCTTCAAAGAAAGTAAAAATATCTCAGTCTTTCAGGCACTGTGAGATTATCTCCTATTCAACTCAATTTCAATTATTTTCAATAGAGCAAGTACCTTCAAATGGATTTGTGCTCTCAGAATCTAGTTGACAAGGAGCTTTTATATCATTGATGCTTGCAGGTTTTCCATTTATCTTCAGACAGGAGTGGGGATTACCTTCCTCATTCAACCTCTTCTCTCAGCCTTTTCAGAAAAAGAGAACATCCAGTGTGGCATTCCACAGAAATAAGAATTGAAAAACTATTGGAGATATAATCTAATGAGGTTTGACAGATTAATCAGAAGTGCTAGAAAATGTTTTGAATTGTGTTCCTTGGCTATTTGAAGGTATTTTTCCCTCTGTGTGACAAAATATTGGTTAATTACTATCTATTAAGATTACATAGATTATGACACATATCCAAATTCGTTAAAAATAATGTGAATTAAAATCACAGTTTTAGAAACTCGGTGTGCTTGGAATATCAGGAGCTCTCAGGCAATCTATTTGCCTAAGCCAGAGCTCTGACACATTACTTCTCTAGACTTCAGCTCGCAGAAACCTCCAATCTGCACATTGACTGTGGAATTCTGGGAGATGTGGCATAAAAAGTAACTTTTCAAACTCTGGTCTGGACTGGCATTGGATACTTGAACTGGCAGAGGGTTTCCAAGGTCTAATCTGGACCTTTCCTAACTCTGAAATGTTTCAAAGAGAGAAAGTAGGAGCCAGTCATGTCCTAACATAGCTATAGATCTTTCCTAAGCTCTGTTTCACAAATAAAGAGTGGGGGGGGGGGGTTGCAAAAGTAGTGTCACTAGGGCCATCAGTTAACTGAACCTCTAATTCCCTGATGGCCAAAAATATCACATCATTATATAATAATAAAAGGTTTCTTTAATTGCTCCCTCATTTTATGTCTTTCTCTTTTGTATGCCCTGAGCTTGCTGTTATATAAGGACAATTCCAGGCATGCATAAAGCTTTTCTGTTACAGCTTCTTTATAACACCTGTTGAAGTCAGTCATGGACAGCGGAGACTAATTTTGCCTTTTTCTATTTTAAGCCACTGCAAAGTACCAAGGTCTTATTTTCGTTGCTTCACCCTAAAGCATTTTGAAGTCACACTATGAATGTTTTGAAAACCCAAAATTAGAGTAGCATTTAAAATTCCATGGTAGAGCATAGTACTCTGAAATGTATTTGGTCTCACTCCACACTACTACAACTCCCATAAAGATTTTTTTGTGCATTCCCAAAAACTGGAGGGAGGGGCTGGGGAGAGGTCCCTTTTTTGCTTTACAACTTCTAAAATTTCCCAGCCAGCATGGCCAGTGAAAAATGTTTAGGGTTGTAATACAGGAAAGTAACTTCCCAAGGCTCTGGGTGTCTTTTTTAAAGTATTCTAATCCATAATTCACCACATGCTTTCTGTTCCTTGAAATTCTCCCTTTATGTTTCTACCTGATGTTCTTATCAAAAACAGCAAATTACTTTTTTATTTCTGCTTACTCCGTAAATGTAATGCCATGACCATTGTGAAAGAGGGCTAGACTTATATATTGTTTTACAAATTGCTTAAAGTTGTAAAATGACAATATGTAGTGTTGTCCCATGTTTAAGAAAGTCACAGGCTGTTCTGTGGGTTCCCTGAAGCTCCAGGTTTGCCTATATTTTAGGAGAGCATAAACGGTTGGGCTACTTCTTATTAAGAAGCAGCTGAAGCTGTTCACACCACCATCCTGCTTTCCCTAGGCTCCAACAGTCCAGGCACAGGGAATGACACTTACCATCCCCTATCATTCTGGCCTTAAAGGCAACCACTTGTTTTGGTCACTTGGTGTCTATAGTGACAATAGCGGCATCAATAAAGCAATCAGAGAAAAGAGAGGGGGAAAGAGGGATCTAGTCCTCCCCCTACATTGCTTCCTTGTTCTGTCTATCATTAATACAGGTGCCGAACTGCAACCACTTCCAGTTTCATGGCCAGTGGTCACCACTAAGGCCAGATTGACAGGGGGAAGTTAAGAGTGGCAATCCAGTGGTCTAAACCGGGTCAGGAACTACTTTACTGTGCACGCACCATCCAACCACCAGTCTGGCTCAAGGCTTTGCAGTACACACACCCATCAACACCCAAACTGGCTCAGCAGTTAGCTTCAATTACACTGATCAATAGTACTCCACTTTGAGTCAGCATCGCTATTTGTGGCATGTGTAGATGGCCCCGCAGAAGAGACCACCTGTGCTAGTACCAACCACCTTCCACAACAATTAATTCTTGGAAAGGAATATTTCACACCAAGCACTTTCTCTGTGTGTGCCTCCCAAAAACCTGGCCCAGATTTTCTAAGCCATCCAGAGTAGGAGCAAGCAGAAGAGGATGGAAGCAGTTTAATCAGCAGAAAATTCTGTTGACTTCCTCCCAAAGATTAGGATTTCAAATTACAGGTCATCTCCCTAAGTCCTTTCCTCAGTTTTTTAACATGATGTTTACCACATTACCACATTCTAGCTCTTTAAGAGAAGGGGGAAGCCAGATCTGTATATACAGTAGCTGAGAATTTTGTGAAAGAACTCTAGTCTTTCATCTGCATCTTAAGAGGAGTCCACATTCCTTTATTGTATCTTTCCATTTGCAAAACTGAAGATTTGGTAAGTGTATTTACTGATTTTACAATGTTTAAGGTCAGCAGAGATAGAAAACCTTTCAATACTGAAAATTTAATCCTATTCCAGAACAAAGCCATGATTTGCCTCCTGATATTTCAACTTGCTGTTAGGCTCAATGTGTGTTGTGTACCCCTCTAGTTAATTAACTTTGGCTTCTTCACTATTGACTACCATGGCTAGCGTTCTCCTGACCCTTCAATCCAGCAATGTCTGGAGGGCCATGTGATTTCCACCCCTGGTTAGAATTCTACTCTTGGGCTACTATTCCACATTTCAGATACTGAGAGACCGGGTTGGAAGTAGAGTTCCTGAGATTTCACGTGTTCAAGTATATTGACCCCTTTCTGTTTCTTTTAAAACAAGATCTATATTCTCCCACCTGGATTTTAAAACCAAGAAGAAAGGCTGCTATTTTCAGTTTTATATTCCCTTTATGACTCAATCCCAACATGCAGCTATAGCTCTCTTCAGAGTCTCGTCACAAAGAGTGCCCTTGTTAAAATGATGTTTAAGCAAATGTATTTCAGGAGAAGGTGAATATTCAGATTTGTTTCTATATCCCTACAGTTTGTACACATGTTTCTGTGCTAGTACTGTCTCATCAAATGAAAAAAATAAAGGTCAGATGAGGAGAAGGAGAAGACTGGCTAACATTTTGCAGGGTTGCATCATGCAATACGTTGCTAATTTTTGTACTTGTGTTTATCAGAGAATGCTTTTTTCCCTCCACTTCCCACTAAAAGGTCAAAACAATGCATTGATATTTAATGTTTGTACTGATAATTTAATGTTTGTAGAGAAAGTAGGTAAAGTGGACACTAAGCAGCCTTCAACCTCTTTTGAAACCATACTAAAACAATTTAAAATATTCTTTTTCTTCATTTCCAGAAATTTCTAGAAGAAACAAGCACAATCCAATTTATTTCCTTCATTCTATTTTATACAATTGTGCTTAGTTATATGTTTAGAGAAACAAAAGAATCTGACATTTTAATCAGAAGCAAAGCCTGATGATTTCAGCGTGATCAGTATTTCATGCACATAATAAAACCTATGGTGAGGAAAAGGTCCAATTTTGGTTTTGCGATCGTGACATAATTTGGAAGCAGGGTAACATTAAAAGTTTGCAGTAGACTTGTTCATTATCCTAATTTTTGTGAATATAATCAAATCCCATTTTATTTTATTTCCAGGGTCCTAATTCAATCATGATTGTACTGGTAATGCTGTTGAATATTGGTTTAGCCATTCTTTTTGTCCATTTTCTAACTTGATTGGAATTAGGAAAGGTAAGCATGACATTTGTGTTTCGCATTAAAAAACCTCAGTTTTCATCTCTCTTGTTTAAAACAACAAAGCCGTATTATTTGCATACTTGAATGTTCCATCGCTTTTAATTTTAGCTATGCCTGAATGTGATTCAACATAGTTACTTAATGATATAACTGTTTTGATCCTTCAGTGAAGTCATGACAACTAGTGGCGTAAGCCCACAATTCTCGGCAGTTGTGTCATCAGCCTTTTAAATGGCACGAGTCATGTTCAGACACAGGGAAGGAGGCATGGAATTAGGATGGGACACCAGAGAGATGAATCTTGGAAAACTCAGCCAGAGGCTTTGGGGTCCTCTGAAAGCTGAAGCGAGCAGCCATCTTGGGGAAAAAATATGCGCCCACACACAAGCTTACCGAAGCAGCCCAACAAGTAGAGTGTGTTGGTTACTCCATCTGTTCCAGCAAAGAGTGTGACTAAACTGGAAATGTACGGAGCTGCACTTTTGTTGATGGAAGCTAACAGCTGCCTTACTATTTTGCCGTCTGATGTTTTTGGTGGGGGAGATGGGAAACTGACTGCCAGAGGAATGTGGTCAGAGGATTCGGTTGCTGTGGAAGCGATTCCAGTATTCACTCCTATCTCATTAGAAGAAATAGTTAGCAGCATCACTCACCAGTCTTATTCCATTACCTGCTGCTTTTAAAATCTCCTTGCCAGTTTCTGGGAGATTATGTTTCATTGGTTATGCATGATTCTGTTCATTTGCTATTTATTTAAAACTTATGTACAGCCATAATGTAATGCTATAGACCAGTCTAGAAAACTTTGAGTTTTCAACCTGCAGTGAATCAAAATTAAAGCCTATAGCACATGTGCACTATAGGTAATTTCTTGGATGTATCAACATCTTGACGACACCCTTTTTTTAACCTAAGCCGATGAGAAGTCATCTTCCTTTAAAGGGTTTCACAGACAATATGCAAAATGTTTTAAGCCATTTTTTATATCTTCCTAGTGAAAAGGGTAAGAAAATTTATTTTGGTGTCTGCAAGATGTATTGGTCTCGATCAGTGTACCAGGTGAGCAAAGTGGGATATTTGGTAAATGTTATGCCACTCAATGCTTAACTTAGTATTGCAAAAAATATATATATTCCTGGCACTTAAAGCCTTGTCTGCTTGCACAACGGAAGATGTTAACTAAACGTACAATAAATAATGATTTTTAAAAGTCAAGCATCATGTTGAATACATTCAGGTAGAGCATTTCAGTCTCTTAACGATGACTGATGATCAGTTTGATGCCTTTAATGTTGTTAAAATGAGTCTGTAATCTTACCTCAGCCAGTTAAAACTTAAGCCTCAAAACTTTCATTTGGACTCTTTGTCTTAAATAGATTTACAGTCCTATGTTTTGATGATGCGATCTATGTTTTCTCTCTCTCTCTCTCTCTCTTCTTGCTACTGTAGTTTACTGTATTACATATTACTCGAAAGCATGCTTGTTCACTTATAGGAAAGTCATAGATGGTGTGGTCATTTTGAAAGTCAGCATTTTAATTAGAAATAAAAAGTAAAGGGCTTGGGTTTGTTTTTGTTTTTATCTCTTAGAAAAAAGAAGGATTTTAATTCTGTTTGTAAATTACATCATCATTAATATAATTATTATTTTGCATGGTTTAATGAAAAGGTTTCCTCATGACTACATTAGCTACTGTAAGAGGAAGCCAATGAAATGGAAATGGGCAGGGAATGTTTCTTATACTCTGGAGCAGCTCAGTGCAGGACAGTAACATGGTGGCATTTTTTGCAGAAGTGGGTTGAGAATCCTGTGTTTTGCCCAGTGTGGAATCGAGAAGAAAGCAGAAAGGCAGCAAATGAAAATTTAACAACTTATTATATTAAGAAAGCAAACTATTTTTATTCCAAATTTACTAAAGAAACTGAGAATCAGATTTTTAAACTATATAAAACACAAAGTCCTATACGAACACATTTTTTCAGTACAGCCCAGTAAAGCTACTGATTAAATTAATTTTGTAACTGACGTTTAGATATTATTACATGTGTATTTAAAAAAACTTTAAAAATATGGTTTTTGAAAATGTTTATAAATTTGAGCATGTTATGTTTCATTTATAATATAAATATGTATGATTTATAAGCTTTTTTAAAAACAAGGCTTTAATCAAGATTTGTTGGTATTTTTCTAAAATGTACACTGCTGTATTTTACATAAAAGGCTATTTATAGTTGGTTGTATACTGTACACTACATTTTGGACAGCTCATAAGTCTGCCAATGTACTTAATGATATGTCACTTTGTCTATTTAAAATTTCTTGCTGTGAATGAATTCTTTATGTAATGAGCTTCTTTATTTATAATTCTGGAACCCAAAATAGATAATGTACAGTTTTCATAACTGTATTTGCTCTAATAAAAGAAATTGGTTACTAATTTGTGTACAAATTGTTGTCTTTATCTAAACAATACCAATGTTTTTTACATATTCACTGAATGTTGTAATCAGAGAATGTTAAGTAAAGGCAAAGGTTTCTCTTGACACTAAGTCTAGTCGTGTCCAACTCTGGGGGATGGTGCTCATTTCCATTTCTAAGTTGAAGAGCCTGCGTTGTCCCTAGATGACTCCTAGGTCATGTGGCCAGCATGACTGCATGGAGCACCTTTACCTTCACACAGAAGTGGTACATATTGATCTACTCACATTTGCATGTTTTCCAACTGCTAGGTTGGCAGAAGCTGCTGGGGCTAACAGCGGGAGCTCACCCCGCTTCCCAGATTCAAACCACCACCCTTTTGGTCAGCAAGTTCAGCAGCTAAGCAGTTTAAAGAATGTTATTCATAGTTTATAAGTAGAACATATGTATGTCTTTTTACATTGTACATCCTGTGCCTTTCACAGGTCATACTTTTGAAAGTCAGTTTCTATTTCATTAATAGCTTTATGAATCTAGGAAGTGAACCAATGTGAGTAAAGGGGTTATTTTATAGATTACATACACAAATATCATTTAGCCCTCATTTCTAGAGTACACATTAAGAATATTTATTCACAAAGGCAAGATACTTTAATAAATGGCTATAGCAGATGTAAATAGTCACTGATCATGTTAATAAACAAAATGAAAATGTGATGCTTAAGAAATTTATAGTGTGAGGACCAGAACAAAAACAGTGGTGTCCTGTTATGGTTGTGTATAGTGCAAAAGTGAACATCACCACCCTGCATTATTATCCAACTCCGATATGGATTTGCATTGTTCGTTCACTTCTAATTTATTGTATTTGTTCCACTACCTGAACAAACATCACCTGTACATGAGAGCTTCCAGGATAACCTGGAAATGTAAGAAGGCAAGGGGAGAAAATTCAAGCAGTGGTCTGCCTCACTAGTGATACATACATTCTCATTAACCCAAGTTACACCCAGCTTAATGAATACATGGCCTTGGATCTTGTTGGTAATTCATAAGTAGACTAGACTCATATGCAGACTTGCCATTAATTCAATAAGTGCATTCAATTAATTCAGGGAATTTACTCTAGTTGGGACTGACACTATGATGTAGGTCATGAGGAACAATAGTGTGTACAAGTGCTTTCTCATACAGGATTCAAGAGCTAGATTTTAAAGTTTTGCAGAGATAAACATGGAAGTGGCCATTTTGTTCTCTGAATAATTGATAAATACAAAATCTTAGCTTTTGTGTGCCATTGCCTGGCAGTGTCTTATGTATTTAAAACAGTGGTTTCCAACCTTTTTTGGCCACGGACCACTTGATCAGGAACCACTCTCCAACATTAGTACCAAAAGGATTATGAATCAGTTTTTGGTCAACTTTAGATTTGATTTAGTTATTTGGGGTGCTGATTCAGAAAATTGTATTGGATAGACCACATCAGCTCTATTTTCTGATACAGAACATATGCCATCCAGTAGTCACTATCTGTAGGTTGTTGTAGGTTTTTAGGCTGCGTGGCCATCTTCTAGAAATATTCTCTCCTGATGTTTCACCTGCATCTATGGCAGGAATCCTCAGAGCATGGCCATGCAGCCCGAAAAACCTACAACAGCCCAAGGTGAAAGACACACCTTCTTCTTGACACATTTCTCCCTTTTGCCCTCCCTCCATTTGTGCCTCTTCGAATTCCACAGCGCTGTTCCACAGCTGATCTCCAGTTAGAATGGTCTAATGCCAGGGCTTCCTAGTTCTCAGTGTCTATGCCACAGTTTTTAAGGTTAGCTTTAAACCCATCTTAAAATCTCTTTTGTTATCCACCAACATTTCTGGTTTTTGTTACTGAGTTGAGAGTAGAGTAACTGTTTTGGGAGATGGAGATCAGGCATTTGGACCACGTGGCCAGTCCAGCGGAGGTGATGGCGGAGGATAATCACTTCAGTGTTGTTGGTCTTTGCTTCTTCCAGCACACTGACATTTGTTCACCTGTCTTCCCGAGAGATTTGCAGAATTTTTCAGAGGCAACACTGATGGGATTGTTCCAGAAATTGAGAGTAACATTTGTAGACTGTCCACATTTCTCAGCTGCAGGATATTCACAAACGTTCACAAATTTATTGTGGCAGAAATACAATGCCAACCTGAAAGATCTGAAAGTTGTTGCGACTTCAAAAACAACCAATAACTGCTTGACAAGCACTAAGCAGCATCTCCACATCTTGCCAATTATATCAATGGATTTGGTTTTTTGTTTGTTTGTTTTTTTACTTTGGATTAGGTGAGAGATGTTTTCAGATTGACAAAATCCATCCGATTAGTGTGGTGGTTACACAATGTAATTCTCCAACTCAGTCCTTAGAATAAGCCATTTATAGACGTTTACTCATGTGATGGCATTTAAAATATGATATTTACCCCTGAGTCTAATAGTCACCTATACTGGCTAAATTACATCGCCAAAATTGAGGTGGGCATTAGATTCAATGGTGTATTAGAATTGTGCACATAAACCCACTGCATGAAAAGACCCAGAGGCCAGATGGAGGCTGGGAATGACTTGGTGACCAAGTCATTCCTGCCATTTAGTCACAGAGGGGCTGCAGGGCTTTCAGGGCTCTCTGGCCAAAGGAGCAGGAAGCAGAGCCTCGTTGCATCCTTCTGGGCCAGGGTTCGGCCATGAATTCTGCTTCCCTGGCAGCCCTTGAAACATCTCACCCCCCTCCCCATGGCTCAGGCATCACTGTTCCAAACTGACCTCATTCATGAGCCCTTCAAAACGGGGGGGGGGGGGGGGGGTTGAAGACCTTGTGAATAATGCTAGTTGGTAATCAAGCAAGGCTGGCAACTTTGCATCTTTGACCTGACAGAAGTGTGATTTTCCAACAAGCCTCAATCATGCTGCCTGCCTGTCTAGCTGCGTGCCTTCCTGGCGTGCTATGGCTGCACCATTAGGTGCATTACGTTTGATGACAAATCTGTTTGTTTTGTGATGAGCACCTTCAAAATTGAAATGTGCATTACATTTGAAGGTGCATTATACTCGAGCAAATATGGGTATACTAAATCCAACTCAAAAATCAACTCCTAGTCTTCTGGAGCAGGTTTATGCATGTATATGATGTAGGAATGAGATGAGGAAAGCACTAAATAGAAATGCATTTAATTATGTCAATCATATTTTAATGGTTACACTCTTTTTATGTTGGTCTCAATGACGAAAATGTGTCTTTTGATTTTTTTGTACTGTCATTTTTAATTAATGAGACAGACTGTCTAACAGTAAGCCAAACTGATGACCATTTGATGTTTCATTAAGAATGACTGTCTAGAATTGTTCTAACCTTTCAGGGTTTATAGAGGGTATGTTTCGATAGTTAAAAGCACTTTAAAGCCATTATCATTTACTGTATGTTAATAGTCTGTTGCTCAAATAAAATAGATGCTTCAGAACTGGCAAGATAAGAATTTCTTATCTATTAACATTCTGTTCTGCATTTCAGAAAGGGATTTTTGATATCCCTGTCTGGAGATGCAAGGAACTGAACTGCAAAGTATTGGCAGGGAAAGCATGTGGCCTTCTGTGCCCAAATATATCACAAGATAAAAAGAAATTCAAATATGAATTAGATTGTGAACTACTAGAGTGCACACTTCTCTGCCAAGAATTTAATGCAAAACTGCACACTGCTGAATTTGCTTTGGGAATTCTTGTCTTACTATGACCCGATGACATGATCATTATTTTAGCACTTGATATCTAGAGCCGTGATCTCCAGGGAAAGAAGCAGCAGATACTGGATATTACTCTGCCTGTGGATACGTTCTCATTTCATGTCTTGAACTAAGTCAATTGAATGAGTCACTTTAGGAAGTTAGAGGCAGTAATAAAAATACATCTTTTTTTTTTCATAGTTACTATTTGAATGTGTAGATAATAACCAATTCAAATGTTTAGCAATACAGG